TTACACGCTAGCATTTGTGTTTATGAACCAAAAGGGTAGGAAAATGAAGAGACATTGATCCAAGATATAAATTCTCAGTTACAAGATGAATTCAATCTGGAGAACGAATGTGTAAATGATGGCTATGGTTAGGATAGTATAGTGTGGATCTGAAAGTTGCTGAGGACAGGTCTTAAGTGTGCTTTCTACATATCTGGCACTCACAAAGAAGTAACTCTGTGTGGTAATAGATGATGTTGGTTTGATGAAGTTAAACATCTCACAGTACATATAGGTATTAAATGATGTTACTTTTCTGTTACAGTAACAAAATATCCAAGGTAACCTATCTGTAATGAGGAAAGGTTGTCTTGGCTCCCAGTGTGGGAGGTTTCTGTAGGCACATTTGTTGGGAGGAGATCATGATGATTCAGTATACCAAGGAAGAGAAGGCCTGTTTACCTCAGGCAACAATGGGGGAGGGGGAAGAAAGAGGAGGAGGGAGCTGGAAGAGAGAGAGAGAGAGAGAGAGAGAGAGAGAGACAGAGACAGAGACAGAGACAGAGAGAGCTCGCTCTTCTGTTCTTGTGTACAGGTAGGTATTTCCTTCAAGGGCATGCAGCCAAGGACCTCACTTCCTTACATTAAGCCCCCCCTCTTAAATATTCCACTGCCTCTGAGCAGCACTTCAAGTGAACAACAACATTTCAATGTGTGAGTTTTCTTTATTCATTTGTGAATAGAGGGGAAATATGGTCTTTGCCTCTGAGATGTCTTTGACATTCCCTCTGTCAGCAGTCCCTTTGTGGAATCTCATTCCCATTGGAGCCAGGCTGTTTCCAGTGCTCACCTTCATGCCCAGAGCCAGCATCATGAGAGGATGGAGCAGGAGCACAAGCTACTGGCCTTGCTTTCAGTTACTACAGGGGTAACTGAGTGCAGGGAACAACCCTAGGCAAGCATTACACCCGGGCAGCCTATCCCAACAGGACTGTGGCAGGGGGGTGGGCAATGCCCAATAAACAATTTCACTGGAGTAGCTAATCCCTTCCTCTCGATATTGCCGCATGGCAATGAGTCCTCAGAACAAATCCCAGTATGTTCATCAGGGCACAGCCATCTGGGTACCAAAAAGTATACAGATATTTAAAATTATTTCTCTGACTTCATATAGAAATCTTAATAAGTGACATAAGCAAAGATCTAAATCTTTCATGAAAATTCTGACCTGATTGGCCATTTGGGATGGTAAGTGCTAAACTAATGAACAGACAATAACCCACAAGTGTTTTTCAGCACTAACCTTATCCTAAAATCCATTCTCCTCTGAAGTATGGTAGCATAGGGCTTGGTAGGATAAACTAAGAGGATAGTGAGTTTGAGGCAAGCGTGGGGAATTTAGTGAGACTGTCTCGAAAAATAAAGACTACCATCATCTATTTTTCTTATGTAAGTTTTCCTTGCCGAAGACATGAGCTGGCATACCCTTTTAAAGAAAAGGTGAGGAACAAGTAAATGTTAGCTTCAAAGCTCTTGATACAATTCTAAGCCTGTATTACTTGTCCCACTGAAACCTCATCAATCTTAGAATGGCATCTGTCTTCCAGCCACAGAATTGTAGATTTGTAGCTGAGCACAGAGCCTTTGGGGCCAACCGTGACTGCCTGCTTCCAGAAGTCAAGCTAGGGTGAAGGAGGTGCCATCCACATAGTTCTCAGGAAGATATTGCCCGCCCAGGAAACAGCCCAATAGCTAATGGAGAGGAAATCTTCCCTCCCAGTAAGTAAGAAACTCTCATGAAACTAGCCCCAAGACAGATGTCAGGAAAGAAAATAATGCCAGAGAACATGGAAGCAGTTCAGATGTGTTGTGCGTGGTCTGTTCAGGCATTAGGGGTGCTATAGCCCATCTCTTGTCTTTCTTTTTTGTGCTGGGGCCTTATATGTGCTCAGTAAGTAAGCTGGCACTTCCCCCAGCTCTGTGGTTTTATTTATTTTATTGTGAGATTTATTTTGCTCTCACTAAATTGTCCAAACAGGCCTTGAGCTCACATTTGTCCTGCTTCAGCCTCCCAAGCAGCTGGGATTGCAGGGCTATGCCCCAGCCCAGGTGACTTCTTTCCTATTTACCTCCCTCCCTTTCCCAACCTTTTTCTCTAATTTATTGCTGTTTAGCTTCTGGCCTGAAATGGCTGTTCAGGATTCATACTCATTGGGATCACATATTTGACTGAGAGAAAATAATTTTAGCTAATCCACACAAGCAGCTGCCATGACGCTCTCTTTTAAGAGATTCTCAAACATGTACAAAATAATTGAAGAAGGAAAGATAGGCTCTTAATTTCCGAAGTAGCTTTTACCATTTTAATGTATAAAGAAATGTTCATGTTGGTTCCAAGACAGGATGCAGAAAAATGAGAGATATTGTTTTATTCAAAGCCCATGGTAAAGTTGCAGGAGGCAGCAGTGGTGGATGGTGTGCAGTTGGCCACACTGCACACCAGTCTTCTTTGGGCTCCTCTGCAGTGGTTTACAATATGTGAAAGGAGGCAGTCTGATACCTGTGAGACTGTGGAAGACAAGGACATCTAATGCATGGATTGTGGGGACTCTGAGGAGGGGATGAAAGATCTGATGGAGAAGAAGCAATGCTATTGGAGACTCTCCAATTGGGTTATCTCATTCTGTCCTACACTTATTCAATTCTGAGACAGTCACACAGTCTGGCTTGTTGTCTACATTGGCTCAGAGGTATCCTGATAAGCCAGTATCTATCTCAAACTTAAGATGGCATAAGAGGAGTGAACTATGGAAATTCTACTTAGCGGCTTAAGGAAAAGTAAGCTTTTCTCTTATTTATAGGTGAGGAAACTGCTTTCTTCATGACAATCAAACACCATGCTCAGAAAATTTGGATGGATCAATAAATTTGAGCTGAGAAATGTAGCCTTTTTCATAGTAGTCCTTCCATAGTTAACTCTATGCCTATTTCAAGATGATTCTTTGAGGGAACTTTCGACATAGTGATGCTGAGCTACGGAGAGGCAAATGTCCTCCACTCTACAATAGGACTGGGAGGGAGCCAAACCCTGGCTGCAAACTACTGAAAACCCGGGAGCAAAGGAAAAGTCAAAGCTTGTTACTGAGAACCAAAGAATTTCTCATTTTATCTGTAAAATTTTCTTTGTTTATCCTTAAAATTAATTGACAAAGAAATGTGCCTTCATAGGAGTGAGCTTTGGACTAAATTGAATACAAATGTAACTGCTCTAGAGTTTGAAGCTGGAAGGAAGTGCTCTAGAAGAGTGAAAAAGGAAGGGTCAGGGCCATAATGTCATAGGTTGAGCTTAATATGTTGGTGTCCTAATCACTGGCACCTCAGAATGTGACTGGTGACATGGCCATCAAAGAAGTAATTAAGATCCAGTGAGATCACACATCCACTGAATGGCTGCTGTCTTTATTAGAGGTTAGGGCATAGTCATGTATAGAAAGGCCATCTGGTCACATGGAGATGGCAGCTGCAAAGAGTGATGGCATGTCCAACAGAGAAATTCCAGAGAAAACTAACCTGGTACACTTTAACCTTGGGGTTTTTGCATCCAAAACTGTGAGACAAAATGATCTGTTACTGATCTATTGAACTTTGTAATGGTAACCTTATTGTACTAATACAAGTAGGTCTAGAAATTCAGAAGTGCATATTGAGTCATCAGGTAGCCATCCAGAGTGAGAGGGAATAGTGGAGTTTTTTGATAAGCCTGAGTAACTTGGAGAGTTAGTTAGTTTGGGGGGTTCATCATCAGATACCTGATAATCATGGCCACACACCCATCAAAAAAAATGAATCAATTTTGGGAGGGAGTGTGGTGGTAGGTTTAATGCTTCTCCTTAGCCAGACTGTGGCTGCTACATCTTCAAACATTCATCTGGGTGTTATTGTGAAGGGTTTTTATAGGAAGTATTAGTCTAGATTCAGTTGGTTTTAAGTAAGTGAAGTAACCCTGACCACAAGGGTGGCCTGGCTGAACCAGCAGAAGGCACTAAGAGCATAACTGAAATTCACCAAGGAAGAAGCCCCTCTGGCTCCCTCAATTATAAATTTCCAATTCCCTGCTAGCTTTGCAACCACATAAACCAATTCCTCATATGAATTCTTTTAGCATGCACAGGCACCACTGAATCTGTTCCTGTTTGACTAATAAGGGAAATATTCCAAGAGGGCAGAAGAGAGCCATGAGGCCATGAGGATTTGATTACTTAGCAAACAGAAGAAAGTGATCTATGAAGCAGCCAGAGCTCGGAGGTTATAGGGAGAAGTGAATGGGAACAGGGATGAACTGGGCATCAAGGCCCTGGCCTATGATCCTAGTACCCAGGGAGGTGAAGGCACACAAGCCTGAGCTACAGAATGAACTCAAGTCCAGCCTGTGCTGCATAAGACTTTTGTGTCAAAAAGCCAAGGGCTAAACAAATAGCTCAGAGGTAGACTGCTTGCCTAGCACGCTCATTGGGTTTGATCCTGGGCACTGTGAAAGCATTCTAGTGGATATTCACGAAATAGCATATTGGTTTTCACTTCATAAGTCACAACACCAGTCTGATGAGTTCACAGAAAATTCTGTATTGTCTCCACTGCATTTGGTGGGCCTGGAATTTATTTAAAGACATATTTACACAGGGCAGTAAAGTGCTTCAATCCAAAGCAGGTAAGCAAGCAAAGGCTCACACAGATGTTCTCTTTTCTAGACCAGGAGATGACCTTGTGATCAGAACCTGGGCACTTTCTCCCAGGGTTCTCTCAGCAGAGATTTTGAACCTTTGCAGGTAGCTCTTAAGTCCAGATTTGCCCTGTGTGAACCCTGCAGTTCCTGTAAAAACTCTCCCAGGAAATTCTTTTAAGATGTCACCTTGAAGAACCTCCATAATCCTGCACAAAAGAGACCCCACATCTGGCTGACTCACTCCTAAACACCACACCACACCACCCCTGCCACCACCCTACCCTGTCTCCTCACTCACCGAATGATGACAAACATGACCAGCGAATTGCCCACCAAGCCCACCACGAACACCACAGAGTAGACAGCAGTGATGATGACAGGGATGACCGGAGAGATGTGTGCAGTCTCCAGCGGCTGGTCCTCGGAGCCCATGCTGCCGTTGCTGTCCGATTCTACCCAGTTAGGGAACCAGGTACTGCTGTTGGGAAGTAGGCAAGCACTTGGGGCGCAGGTGGGGCTCGGCTCCCCGCGGAAGATCTGGACCGGGGACTCCATGGTGAGGGTTGCAGCTGGAAAGCGACGAACAGTGGCACCTGCAGAGCTGCAAAAGCAGAGGGCAGATTGGACCCAGAAAGACAAACTTTGCCTGTGCAGGGGCGGCATGCAGCTGGCGGGGCGGGAGCTCCCAACCCCTCCACTCAGTCTCAGCCTCACAGACTGAGGAAGGGGCAGCGAGGACTGGCCTCTTTCTAGAATCCCCACCCCCACTCCAAACCTCCCCCGCCCCATCCGGCTGCTAAACTGAGAGCATTTGCACCTTCCTGGAGCCCTGAGGGTGCACCTTGCCTTCAGGCACTGCCAACTCGTGTGGCTGTCCCTACCCTGCCTGTTTGCGCTTGCAACCACAAGAAAGTGCCCTGCCACTCAGCTTCACCGAGCTCAACAATCACCCCGCTATGCCTTGAAAGCCCCAAGCTCACCTCCGGATCGATCAATCGCTGACAGGAGACCTAGCGGCAGCTCAAGTCCCCATCAGCGTCCCAGACGCCACTCTAGTTCCTGGTGACTGTTCTGCCCTGAGGGGTCCAAGTCCCTGCTACTCAGTGTGTGGCTCCCAGGACTGTGTAGGCTCTGCCAGGTGAGATAAAGCCAAGATGCTGTAGGGCACAGGGGACTGGCAGATTAAGAGCAGCCTCCCCCTCCCCTCCCCCCCTCCCAGCCCATCCCCCCACAGCCCCTCAGAGATAGCCCAGGCCCTGCTCTCACCAACTCTAGCTTCCACAGCTGCACACCGTTATGCTCCCTGGGCACTGTGGCTTCCCTGCGGGCAGTCCAGAGCTTAGCTCTTGTCCAGTAACAGACAAGAGAGCTCTGTGCAGTGACCAGAGCGCACAGGATCATTTGATTGAATAATGTGCTTGGAATTTAATGTCTTCATAGTTCGTAGAAACAGTCTCTTCTTAGGCAAGAAGAAAAGCAGTGGTAGTATTGAATTTTATTTGTAGGGGGATCCAAATAAAGTGGAGAAATAATCTAGTCAGAATCAAACAAGTCATACAGAATTAGTGGTTTACTCTCTCATATATGGATTTTAGACATAGATCTGGGGAGTGCCAGCCTGCAATCCCATGGCCAGAGAGTCTGGGAAACAGAAATTTCATTTAGGGGCTGATCGAAGAAGAGGCAGACTCCCTCGGTTAAGTACTGAGCTGAACTCAAGAAAGCCAGTAACAGAGAGGGAGGACTGATGACCAAAGGGATTAAGACTGGGCTGGTTTAACCCCCAGAAACAGCTGACCTGACAAGGTTAACTCTTGAATCTCAGGCATCAGCCTGGGAATCCAGCAGGGAACTGATCAAGACCCCCTGAATGTGAGTGTCAGTGAGGAGGCCTAGGTAATCTATTGAGCCTTGGGCAGCAGATCAATACCCATCCGAAGTATACACACGGACTTTGGACTCCCATCCAACAATGTGAGGTGCACTCTCACCCTGAACTCTTGGGGAAGGGTCTAGGCCCTGCCCTATATGAAATGACAGACTATGGACACCCCCATGGAGGGCCTCACCCTCCCTGGGGAAATGAGGGGATAATGGGGGGATTGGGGGGAGGGCACGGGAGGAGGGGAGGGAAAGGGAGAGGGACCTGGATCTGACTTGTGAAGCAACCTTGTTTCTTATCTAAATTTAAACTGAAAAATAAAAAAGATGCATGTTTCTAATCTAAATAAAAACACATAAAAAGATGTATAAATAGAAAGTCTCTGTTCATCTGTCTAACTAGAAAGGCAGGCTGCAAGTGAACTGTACCTTACAGGTACTAATATTATTGCCTACAATTGCTGCAATGACTCTCCTTACCCAGACCCCACTGCTGGAGAAGGACAGTAACTATTTCTTATGTTAATCCTCAACTATGAAGATCTTGCCTCCTCTAACAAATGGACAGAATTCAAACGTTTGTGGAGAAACTCAGTTTCTGTTGTGTGTTAGTAACTGATGATCCAAGTATCTCTGTCAGAGTTTGCTGGGTAAAAAAGAAGACCCTGAGGGAGAAAAAATGCTCTGGTGGAATCCAGGGCTGGGTCCCAAAGGAAGACCCCAGGAGAGAAGACTAGCCACCCAAGAGTGAGGCACCTAAGTTTTCTCAAGTGTTCCAAGGTCTTAGACAAACCAGGTCCCCACTGTTTCCCTTAATGCACACTATGCCCACAGGTAGGAATTTTAATGGCAGACTCAGTGCTTCTCTCCATCAGATGATGATAGAAGGGACCTCTTACACCTTCCAAAGCATGCTAACAGAAGATTTGGCCCCCGTTCTTATAGGTTACAAATGTACAAGTCTTGTCATTACTGCTGCATGAAAATACTCCCCTTTGCCAATCGTGCTTCCAACTCTTAGCTCATCATCAAGTCTTGCAAACTCTCACTGGAAAGAGTACTGGTTGTGTCAATGTGACACAAACCTAGACATGTCTAAGAGGAAGGAACTCAGAAAATGAGTCTGTAAGAACGGTGTGTAGGCAAGTCTAAGGAACATTTTCTTGATTAATGATTGATGTAGGAGGGTCTAGCCCAGTGTTACCTCTGGGCAAGAGGTCCTGAGTTGTGTAAGAGTGCAAGCTGAGAAAACCATAGGGAGCGAGTCAATAAAGAGCACACTCTGGTGGCTTTGCTTCATTTCCTGTCTCTAGGTTCCTGGCTAGCATATCTGCTCTGTCTTCCTGCTGGGATAAGTTTTGACTTGAGAGCTATAAACTGAACTAAACCCTTTCCTCTCCAGCTGCTTCCAGTCATGGTGTTCATCATGGCAGTAGAAACCCAACTAACACAGACAGTGACGCCTTCTTCTGCAAACACTGACCTCAAGAGAAGCATGATGAATCTAAGGCTGTCCTTTCCATATGGAAGATGGCAGAACCTTTCTTTATGTCTTCGGAACCACTTCCTACCACAGACTTGACATGTGACCAGAAAACCAGCTCATCAAAATGTTTTCCTGGAAATAACTTTTATCATTTTATTTTACAATTGAAAAGAAATTAGAAATAGTTTTCCAGTGAAAATATTAAGTAATCCACAATTACTATCTTTCTTATCTGTTTAGTATTTATTTATCTGCCATTTTGTACATTAAATATAAAACTGCCTTTGTGCTACATACTTTTGAAGTGTGTCTGTATTACCTCATGTCTCTTTGCTTTTATTTACATATTGCCCACTCTCTTTAGTTAAATGTAGGTCATTCACACAGCTGATACTGCAGAATCTGGGATCCAACATGATATGGACATGGGTCTGGTTATGTGCTTATTGAATAGAACTCCCAATGTGAGCACACAAATGCAGAGCCCTCTTCCCACAACACCAATGGAGAAGAAAGGTATTTAGTGAAGGCAGAAAGACACATTAATTGAAAAGATATAAAAGAAGTTTGAAAGATGTACACGTCTAAGCACTCATGTAATTCGAATAATTCAACCTTTTTGTTTCCCATTCTTTTTTTTTTAATTCTTTTTGAGACAGGGTTTCTCTGTATTGCTCTAGAGGTTGTCCTGGAATGTGCTCTGTAGACCAAGCTGGCCTTGAACTCACAGAGCTCCACCTGCCTTTGTCTCCTGAGTGCTGGGGTTAAAGGCGTGTGCCACAAATGCCCGGCCTGGTTTCCCATTCTTGTATACTTACATTTATATTTATTACTCAGAATCTCTGGCCAATTGGATATAGAACACTACAGATAGCAAACTCTATAGATTCCTAAGTCATTTACATAGACAGTGTAGTATGTCCATAGACTGTGTACAGTGCCCCTTTTACATCAAGCCATCTCTACATTCATCATAAAACTTAATACAAGCAAATGCTGTACAAATGCTGTTGCATTATGTTATTTAGGAAATGTTGACAAAATGACTGTGTGTATTCAGCAGAAAACATTAATTACAGAAAGGTTCCTTCAATCTCTGATTGCTCAGGTCTGTGACTATAAAACTCATCAATAGGAATGGTAGGTTACAGAGAGTGGGAATGAAAGGACTTCTCTGGGATATATTCTAAACCAGCAGGCAACTCAGCCTGGACTTGTAAATGTAAAATGATAGGCTAAATTCCACCACTAGTGGGAAACCTTTCCAAGTTAAGACAGCTGTTGAGAGATAGCAGAACACTAAAGCTAGTAAAAGTGATTTGTTTTATTTTTACCCTATTTCTCACCCTCTTTTAAATCACATTAAAACCAAAATAAAGAGATGTCAATATAGAGAGAACACTCGGATGCCTGAAAATGCCCCCATTGCCAGGGGACCTGTTGGCTCTGAATGAAGTAAGCATGGCTGTTTCTGTGGAGCCCAGCTCTCAGGAGTATGAGATTTTATGATAATATTGGGTAAAATATCAAGAAAACAAACTGCCAAATTGCTGTGCACTACTTCACACTTACGGAGCATGTATTATTAGCCTGAAGCTGGAGAGATAGCTCAGTAGTTAAGAGCGCTGGCTTTTCTGCTTGAGGATATGTTTGCAGCCTCACATGATGGCTCACCACTATCTGGATCTCCAATTCCAGGGAATCTTCTGTGGATACCAGGCACACACTTGGTACACAGACACACATCCAGGCAAAGAACTCATACACATAAAATATTAAAGTAAGAAAGTAAATAATCTCACTAATACTCTGTGCAGACGTTGTGGTGAGAACTACAAAGAAAGCACTTTTACAAACAAAATGCTAGCACTATGAAGCACCTTGAGTGATGGGCAGCTTTGACATTTCTGCCAGAAAGACTGGAGAACTCCCAGGCAGCTGTGAGTAATTTGATTTCTCTTGACTCTCAGGACACATGAACCAGCTATGGGTGCAGAGCTGAAGCATCAGTGTTAAGTCCCAGCTCAGCTACTACAGCATACTACACTAAGCCAGGGTGCAGGCAGCACCCACTTCCCTCACTCTGCACCAGCTGCTGCGTGTCTCCAGATGGTAGAAGAAAAGGCAGGTCCCGAGAATGTGACAGCCAGCTAAACAAAACCAATCTCTCTAAACTATGGTGCATATTCAGGCATGAGAGACTGAATCTAAATTGAAGCATTCATTTATGGATAATTAATGGCAATTATGCCAACTTTGCTAAGGGTGCAATGTGGGATAAAACAGGGTAACTGATAGCCAATGCAGTAAGCTTGTCCAAGATTATTAATATGGCTTCCTGTTCAGTGATACCTTGCTTACATCTTTCAGTATAGTGTCACCATTACTGTGCAAACCCCTGAGATGCTGTCCTTCCACTCTCATGTGTGTGGAGGAAAAGGAAGACAGGATACCAAGAAATCACAAGCAGTAAGAGAATTTAGGGGCATCCTTTTGGGAGAAGTAACGTTGAAGCTGACACTTGATGGCTACTATCTAAGTGAGAGGGAAATGGGGTCTGGAGACCTGAACTCAGGTCCTCATTCTTGCTCAGCAATTTACCTATGGACCTAGACCCTAGGCCCCAGGTGTGGATTTTGACACCCCACTTTCTTCACTTTGGAGGGGGTGAAGGGGGCATCTCATACTGAATCAGCATGTTCACTGTTGTGACTAAAAGTCATCTCAGTGTGATAAAAAACTCTCCCATCTTCTTAGATATAAGCCTAGACCTTTTACATTAAGTCTCTTTAGTGAGTCAAATCTACTCATGTGAAGTCCGTTGCCAGGAATGTGTCAGACAACAGCGTCGGGAGTGGGAGAAATTCTGGCAACACGAGGTCAGAATGGCTTATCTGGAATGTCCTGATTAGTTTTTGTTAGTGTCACACAAGCTAGAGTTATCTGGGAAGAGGAGGCACAATTGAGAAAATACCTCC